AGTGAGTGAGTGAGTGAGTGAGTGAGTAAGTGAGTGAGTGAGTGAGTGTGTGAGTAAGTGAGTGAGTGAGTGAGTGAGTGAGTGAGTGAGTGAGTGAGTGAGTGAGTGAGTGAGTGAGTGAGTGAGTGAGTGAGTGCGTGTGTGAGTGTGTGAGTCAGTGTGTGCGTGTGAGTCAGTGAGTGGGCTTGTGAATACCAACACGCACCAATATCACCTGCCTGTGGTTGTGAGCACACGTGCACCCCATGTTGCACTCAAACAGCTGCAACACGAATGGCATCAGGTGGCGACAGCAATCACGGCTCACAACGCTTCATCTCACCCACCTGATACTACGGGTGTATTCCCGCCACTTTTCTTGCGCGTGTTCAATCGCCGCATCTCTCTCAACCGCTCGCCGTCGCACTTCTTCCTCTTGCCTGCAGGCACGACAAAAATAAACGACAACAAATATGCCAACACATATGTGGAATGAGTGCGTGCGTGCGTGTGTGCGAGCGTGCGTGTGTGTGCGTGTGTGGGATTGATGTGCGACTCCGGCGTTGCGAAAGGAAGAAGAAGACGAAGAGAGCGAGTGTTCATGTGCGAGGTGTCGTGAGTGAGCACAGCACGGCTGCAATTGAGACAAGCCGCGAGCATCACGTGTATGACGCACGCTTTCTTGTCCTCCATCTTGCGGACGTTGATTCCCTGCAGAGTGAAAATGCGGCGCCAGCGTGAGAGGCGGAAGAACGCGCGAGTAAAAGAAGTTCGGAGGAAGCAAGCGAGCATCACCTTCACCCACACGCACACAAACAAACAAACAAACAAACAAACAAACAAACAAACAAACAAACAGACAAACAGACAAACAAACAAACAAACAAACAACCAAACAAACAAACACGCAGAGCTCAACAAAACACAACGCACCGCCATGCGTCTCTCCTCGTCGGAGACGCGTTTGTTGTCCAGCAGTCGCAGCGATGGCAGTGCCGTCACCGCCTGCTCCCTGTACATTTGTGCGCCCGTCACCTCTGCGTTGCCGTCGAGCGACAGCTCCGCGATGGCGCCGTGCCCGACGATGCCTGCAAGCAACGATGCGAAGAAGCAGCAACGTTGAGGCACATGAGGTGCGTGTGTGTGCGTGCGTGTGTGTGATTGTGTGAAAGTGTGTGTGTATGATTGTGTGAAAGTGTGCGACAGTAGTGCGGGAGAAGCGGTGTGTGACAGTAGTGCGTGCAAGTGCGCTAATAAGAACAACCGCCATCACCACCACCGCCCATCGCTGCAGCGCGCATCCAAAGTGTGCCCGACCCTTTGTTGAGCGGAGGAGGTTGTCGCTGAGGAAGAGGCGTTGCAAGTGCGGCGCCGAGTGCACCAGATCAATGCAGTGCTGGATCTGATTGTTGGTGATGGCGATGATGGTCGTGTTGGTGGATGGAATGGCGGAGGGGGGGGGGGCGCGTTGGAAGTGGGGTTGGTGGTGGTGTGAGAGGAGAAGAAGGCGTGGTGAGGTCAGTAACACGCAATAGCACTGTGTGCAGTGCGTCCGTGTGTCACCTGGTTCCTGCTGATGTTGAGTTCGACAAGAGATGCGAGACCGGCAAGCGGAGACATCTGAACAGAACAGCAATCAGCAGAGCGGGGTGGCGGTGACGTGTGGGTGGGATGGATGTGATGACAGCAAGCATGTGGAGCGACGTGCACAGCAGCTTGCAATGGAACACACAGGCAGGTAGATAGGCACACAGACACATACACACATACACAGACACACAGACACACAGCACATACACACATACACAGACACACAGCACATACACATACACAGACACACAGACACGCGTATACACACCAACAAACAAGCAAAACAAACAAACAAACAAACAAACAAACAAACAAACAAACACACACGCACACACATACACACATCCTTGATGAGATTTGATGCGAGATTAAGGACGCGGAGAGAGCGGAGATGCGCGATGCCGGCCGTTGTCGTGATGGCGTTTCCGTGCAGATCCAGAACATCAAGATGCACAAGCGCTGCTCAAGGGGAAAGGCGTGTTTGTTGGTGCACGTGCATGTGTGTGTGTGTGTGTGTGTGTGTGTGTGTGTGTGTGTGTGTGTGTGTGTGTGTGGATGTGTGGCCTAGCCAGACACACATGCGTCTTTCCCATTCCCCCCCCCCTCATCCCAAATCCCGACACACCACCGCCGCCACCACCAGCATCATCATGTGTGTGTCACCTTCGATGCCGGCGAGCGATGAGATTGAGTTTCGCCCGAGCATGAGCACGCGCAACGAGCGAAGGCGCTCCAGCCCAGAGATGCGCTGACGGTGACGACGACGACGACGACGATGGTCGTGGTGGTGGTGATGGTGGTGGTGGTGATGAGGGGCATGGAGTGTGTGTGTGTGTGTTTATGCGTGTG